GCTCTAACTACGAAAATATTTGATTTACAAATAAGGAATCCTACTTCGCGGAATTTCATTTATCACGGTAGGGTCTAGAACCGATTAACCGCGATAAACAAGGGTTCACTGTACTTAGATATTAGGCATTGGGTTGCTGACTACAAGGTTGGCAGCCCATGGGAGAAAGACGGGCCTTTCCACTGTCGTAAGCAATTAAGCCTGGGAAGCGCACAAGTTCTGAGTCAGAGTGTACTCTATGTATGACAGTGAGTTTTTCTTTCTTTTGTGGACATGGGAAGTTGTAGGGTTTGAACATGCCTTGTTTTTTTGGACTTTGTAGACTGAGCAATATTGGTGAGATGTTGAATTGAGTTAATTATTGGTGAGCTTGAGGAAAGTATGCATTGGTTGGAATCGCAGTTAAGTTACAAGCCAAGAACCTAAGAAGTTAGGTTGACTTCTCCTTTGAAAACATTGGTATTGGAGTGAAAATTGGCAAGTCAGGAGGTTTTACTTTGACAAACAAAGCTTATTTGTAGTAAATGAACCCATTGGATACCTTTTGGGTAGAGAGACAACCTGCTGGCCTAGATGTCTGAATTTGTACATTGAAAATACAATTGTGTGTGATCTGGCAATTTACAGAATAATTAATTGCTTTCTGTAACTAAAAAACTTGGTTCAGTTCTTAGACTAAGACATTTTTAAAGCACTTGGATAAAAATAATTTCATGAGAATGAGAAGCTTCATTTTTATCATCATTAATTGTAGTTTATAGGTTTAGTATCTTATGTTACTTGATATAAGTAAGACGGAAAAATTGAAATCCAAGCTACAATATTTTATGTGACTAAATATTCCTCACTTTCCTGGTACTATTTCGTGTGTGTGCTTGGTAGGTCATGCACTTAATAAAGTTTTTTTTTTTTTTTTAATCCTTTCTTCCATTGCTTTCGTTACTCTACAAGAGCAAGGGTTAGAGTCTCTTTTTTTTTTTTAATCATTTTATTGGGGGGCTAGTACAGCTCTTATCAAAATCCATCCATTCATCCATGTGTATCTGTGCATTTGTTGCCCTCAACATTTTCAAAACATTTTCCTTCTGCTTGAGCCCTTGGTATCGGCTCCTCATTCCACTCCCCCCCTTCCCCACCCTCCCTCCTTCGTGAACCCTTGATAATTTATAAGTTACTGTTTTTCCATCTCTTACACTGGTTGGTGTCTCCCATCACCCACTTTTCAGTATACGTCCCCCTGGGCGGGGATTATATGTAGATCATTGTGATCGGTTCCCCCTTTCCCCCTCCCATGTTCCCCTTACCCTCCTGGTATCGATAATCTCATTACTGGTCCTGAGGGGTTTATCTGTCCAGTATTCCCCGTGTTTCCAGCTCTTATCTGTACCGGTGTACATGCTCTGGTCTAGCTGGATTTGTAAGGTAGAATTGGGGTCATGATAATGGGGGCGAGGAAGCATTAAAGAGCTAGAGGGAAGTTGTATGTTTCATTTGTACTGTAGTACACCGTGACTGGCTCGTCTCTTCCTTGTGACCCTTCTGTAAGGGGGTGTCCAATTGTCTGCAGATGGGCTTTGGGTCTCCACTCTGCACTCCCCCATATTCACATTGATAAGATTTTTTGTTCTTGGTCTTTGATACCTGATCCCATCAACACCTCATGATCACACAGGCTGGTGTGGTTCTTCTATGTGGACTTTGTTGCTTCTCTGCTAGATCACCTCTTGTTTATCTTCAAGCTTTTAAGACTCCAGATGCTATATCTTTTGATAGCCAGGCACCTTCCCTTGAGAGGGAGTACTTGAGTAGAGGCCCTATGTCCACCTGTTACCTTGATACTTAACATATATGTATATAGATCATCATATATAAATATCCCCATCATCATCTATAAATGCCCTTTGCGTCCTAGTTCTTTATTTCCTTTTACTTTCCTTTTGTCCCACTATCATGCTCGGCCTTCCTTTGGGTTTCAAGTACTTTCTCTTGGTTACATTGCCTTTGATCAAGCCCTACCAGGCATCCTACACCCTCTTCACCATCAGTTTTAGATCACTTGTTCTCTTGTCTCCAGGTTTAACACCAACTTCCTTTCCCCTGCCTGCCCCTTCTCCCGTGTTTCCTCAGAACCATCGGCCCCATAGTTTTCTCCGCCTATCATATCTATATAGACATGCAGAGACAATAATAAACACAAAAACAAGACAGAACAGAAGCAAACAATAAAAGGAAACAGAAAAAGAAAACAGAGAGAAGAAATACCAACGAAAAAAAGAAAAGCCTTTAAATAGTTTCAGGTCTATTGTTGACCTTTCGGAGTGTTTTCAGTTCAGTCTGATGAGGTGCCACGCCCTGGCTCCAAAGTCTATTTTTGGTATTCCTTGGGGACTTCATTGCTTTTCTCCTCTGCTGCACACCATTAGCGTTCTGCCCCTGTGTGGTGGGGTCATATCAGGCATCATTCTTACACTGTGCCTCCAGTGTTATCCCTCATAGCGCTCCCTTTGTATGGGTCAGTGAGGGACCTCATGTAGAGATGTCAGTGAGGCCGGCCCAAGGGTCCTCTCTGCACTGGTTGCTCTGAGTAGGAATAGAGTCCTCAGGATTGGTGGGATAGGCAGTTCAGAAAATTTATGGAATTTTAGGATGATGGGATTTTTCCATGAGCTTTTTGAAACCCTTTGTACGTTCTTGTTATAGTTCTTTGCTTTGCATTGTTACGATTGTGTCATTGAGTTGACTTTTGATGCTTTAATCTCTGGATGGCTGCTCAGAGCTTCTCTGTAGGATGTGCTTGGTGTTAATCTTTAGAGAAGCAAATTGTGGGGTCTTTCCCGAGGGGCAGCTTGACTTGTGCTCCCGTGACTTTGTTTTATTAAGTGGCACACGGTGATGAAGAGTTCAATATAACATGCCTTAGCATGAGACCAATTTAAGTTAGAAATTTGGGGGTAATGGATTCTACATGTGCTAGAAGTATGTGATAAACAGAAATGTGATAATGCAAATGGTTGCCGGTTTGGAGTCACTTTTCAGAAATTAAGCCGAGCAGTAAATAGTTCTTGGTTTCTCAGCTTGATGCCTGGAAAGCTTCTAAAGCTTCCTGGACCCCCATATCTCTCCCTCTCTCCACAAACTCCTCGCTTTGTCCCAGCACGCTAGCGGGGAGTAGAGTCTGTGCTGGCCCATCTTCAGAAAAAGCTGTGTCTGCCAGTCATGTCCAGCCAGTACTTCCATGACACACAGACAAAGTTAGATTAAAACAACACAAAACAAAATTCATCCTAAGTGCCCTCAAGCCAACCAAGTATGATATGATAAACAGATAGCAGGAGGAAGTAAGGGGGCTTCTGTTGAAAAGGGAATGTTAAAGAGATAGTCTAGTAATTTACTCCTG